ATAATAATGTTTAATTTGCATTGCATTTTTCTGAATAAGCCTGTTTTTAAATTAATTTTGCTATTCATAGTTTTTTTCTGAAGTAAAATATTTCTCAAAATTTCAGAATTCTCTGTACACATTCTGTAGTTCACTATATGTCAAACAGCTTTTATATGATATCATATACTTTTCGTTACATTTTTTTTTCTCTGGCATATTTTAAAAGAATTTTGCTATTCATAGTTATTTTCTTGAAATAAAATATAATTTAACATTTCTCCATTCACAATAAACATTTTATAATTTACCGTATGTGATACAAGTTTTAAATGATATTATTTATTTTTCGTTCCATTTTTCTCTGCTAGCCTGATTTTAAAATAACTTTGCTACTCATAATTATTTTCTTGAAGTAAAATATAACTTTATATTTCTTCATTGACTATAAATATGTCATAATTTACCGCATGTGTTACACGTTTTAAATGACATTATTTACTTTTTATTACTTTTTTATGCCTATACCTGATTTTATATTCAATTTTGCTACCCTATACTTATTTTCATGGGAAAAAAAACATCACTCAAAATGTAAACAAAGTATTAATTGTAAAATCGACATTAATTTAAGTTAGTTTATTAAACAAAAATGTAAAACGAAAACTCTTATTCAAATAAATTAACTTCGAATAAATAAACAAACAACTATTCAGAAAATAACCCATTTTACTGTTATTATTATTAATTCAGCAGAAACGTAGGGTCACCATGAAATAGGTATTATGAATGAAAACAAGTTATAAATAAGTTAGCAAACAATAGCAACTACTTTATTCACTCATCGACAATGAAAATGATTACTACGCAAGACTTTGTAACAAAATATCCAGGCAACCCAACTGCCGTAAAACCTTTCTCTTAGGTAATTTAGAAGACAATGGGTTTTGCGAAAATCGCAGGAAACGTGTGTAATTTTTATGCATTTTTGGAAGATACAGCCGGAAAAGAGCTAAAACTTAAAGATGATTAAAAAAAATAGAATGCAGAGATTTTATTACAATATTCACCAATTCGAATTTTTCCTTAAATGTTATCATACTCTTGATGTTTACGAAATATTTTTTTCGTAGAGAATTCGCACAATCCATGAATCCAACTGAAGAATCAAGTAGATGAAGGTTCCAAGTGGCATTTTACTGAATTCGAATAAATTAGCTTTTAAGTTTATACATTGAATTAAGTTTATACATACAGGAAATTCAGATTTTACCTTCCCTTTATTTTTTTTCCGCAAGCTTCCATCTGACGAAAACAGGGATCAAGGTCCAGGATGTCCACACTTATCCACTATATTTAAAATTTTGTCACAGTACCCCAATTCTATAATATTTATCTTCTTTCTTATCGTCTTAATTGACTTTGCAGCCTTTTGTGGGCTATAAAGCCTTATTCAGAATGGAATCATCTTATCTTCTGTCCTCTTCGTCAGGGTGCTCCAATTGGTCACTCTCAGTGTTTCAAAGTCGTCGTTAATAACGTCAACCTTATCTGGTCTTGCCTTTTGAGTACCAGTCGGTTTAATACTAACGATCTGATTGTTAAAGAAGATGAGTCTATATAGCCGATGTGTCCAGAAAATTCAATACAGTTTACTTTGATATGGTTGATAATGTCTACCACTCTATGCAGCCTGTACAGCTCATTATTGCATCACAATATTTGCCTGTGGTATAATATTTACAATATGCAAATAATAGTTTAGCATATGTAAAACTATAAAGCAGAAACTATGGAAATAAGTGGAGAGAATATGAACAATTTTATCCCCTATCCCAGTTCTATAATATTAATTTTCTTTTTTATCCTCTTTATTGACTCGACAGCTTTTTATAGGCTATAAAACTTTATTAAGAATATTCTTATGCCAAGATGTTCCAGCTTGTCACTTTCAGTGTTTTAAAGTCCTGATTAATGATGTCAATCTAATCTGTTCCTGCTTTTTAGTTGGGTACCAATTTGTTTAATATTAATGAATCTGGGTGTTAAAGAAGGCTGGTCCATTCGACCAATGTGTCCAGAAAATTTAGCACAGTTTACTTTAATGTGGTTGATAATGTCTACCACTCTATACAGCATTTACAGCTCATTATTGCATAATAATACTTGTCTGAAGTATAATATTTATTATAAGTATATAATGTTTTTATACGTGAATAATACATATAAACATAGTGAATACAATTGATGCCTTAAAATAGCGTAAATATTTTATTGTTAACTGATAAAAAAGTATTTAGATAATATATAATATTATTAGTCTGTATTAATAATAGAAGAAAATTTATCAGTCATACTCGAAGGTATAGTGAATTCATTTGCTGCAAAGGTTGCTCATTGCATACATTTTTTAATCGTGGAATAAAGCATGATATAGCAACTAGCATTTCTTTTCCAATGTTTATTTGCGAACAATATTTGTTTTTTAAAATGGCAACTTAAAATCCAATGTATGTGCCTAGGTTACCACAGACATTAATTTCAATTTCCTAGTACTTTTTATTCATTTTTCAATACCTCACAAGTTTCACAATCTTCTTTGAGTATTTTACCTTTTTGCTCAGAAGGCGAGGGCTTAATTTACTAAAGAGGTTTTTTTAATGTTAATTAAAAATATATCCATGAGTTTTACAATATATATGAATCAGAAATTTATGTTAAAACTAAATAGCTTGAACTGAAAAATATTATTAAAAGGTGCTAAAAAAGTTTGTTCAACAATTTATTTTTTACTCTAATAATCTGTTTCTGATGATAAATTGATATTAGGCGGTATATTTTGAAAGATATTGTGGTATATTTTATTATTTTTATTTATATAACATTAAATATGCGCTCTATTGTTAGGAGTATATTTAAAAAATTAGACGAAAGTTAAAAGTCAGAATTAGCCTTTTTCTGAAAAAAATTAAAAATAAAAATAGTTTATTTATTTATTTATATTACTTTTAATAAACTGCAGAAGGATTTCCAGAATTTCCAACCAATTTATGAGGATATTTTTTCTAAATTTTGAAGTTTATGGATAACTCAAGATGTGTCAAGAAACATCAATGCATTTTAATTTGCTTTAGCGACAAATCCGTACTTACTCACCCAGTTCCTATAATATAATTGGAATAAGATTAAAACTCACCAGAACTTTTCGAACTCAAAATGGCTCGTTCAGTCTGCGAAAGTGTATGATCTTTGTTACTGCTTAAAATGCATTTTCCATTTTTATGTCTAAATTTTCAATACAACATTCTGTACAGGAGTTAACTCTTAGAATATATTTCTTTGGTACTAGGTGATGCTTTTTTTGGACAAAAATATACCTCTCCTATAAAATTTTCAGTAGATAGGAAAAAGCTTCGAATATAATACCGCTGTTAGATTTAACACTCTTTTGGACATAAATAGGCTTAAAATTTTTTTAAAGGCATTCTTTCGTTTTCATAGATATCTCTCTTATAAAATTCTTTGAGAATGAGCATTTGCTTAGAATATACTAACGTGGGTAAGAAGCAATACTTCTTTGGACAAAAATATCCCTTAAGAGAAAAACGTGTAGCTTATTCTTACATTTATAGATTACTATATATAACTTCAGTAAGTCAACAAATGCTTAGAATATTCTGCGATAGTATGTATTTACTTATTTTGGGCGAAAATAAGCTACACAAGAGAAACTTGCTAAGTAGCGGAACATTTAACAACTCTTTCTAAAACATCTTTAGTTCTAAATTCATATTAGACTTCACCCAACAAGAACAAAGAATATTTACTTCTACTTTAATCTGATAAGGTCAGAACACTTTTCTTACACTTGAATTGTGACAATAGCTTATTGACATGAAACATGAAGACACTTTCTCTTCAAGATTTGCAAAAAATAGATGCGTTGAATCAACAATGGTCAGCTAACTTGACGAACTTCATTCAACTGAACTTTTTATACATCATTACCAAATTGATAATCTTCCTTTTTCACGCATGAGTAAGCCGTCACTCTTCGCTAATAATTCCTTATCTACAACTCAACGCAATTTAATAATTCTCCCTCCGTTAATTACTCTAAAAATAGGTGAAAAACTCTTTCCGTGTTAAGCTGATTACTATTTACGAGTTTATCAATTTTCGAAAGGCCAAATGTTCCATTTTTTTTAGTCCGAAATTAAGAATCCTGAAAGTTTATTAATCATTTGACGTGAACGTTTTATAAATCGGTATTCAAATTTTTAAAAAGAAAACATTTTATTTCCTCTTTCATATCCTAAATTAAAGTGCAAATAAGGGTTTTTTTTCGGCTGCAGAATTAAAGAGTTTAACTTTGGAAAACATTTTCTAAAAATAGACAGTACTTGCAAGTTAACAAAATTTTTAGCAATTAGCGTGCTCTTTTCATTAATTTCATTTAATTTTTTAACTTGCATTGAACAGCCGATTCAGTTTTGAGTTTCTGATTATGTAATGGGGATTAAATGCAATGTTAATTAAATATAATATTGCAACTTTAATGATTTGGCTTTAGTAGGTTTGGAAATTGATCACTCAAACGTTAAAAAGGTCTATTGATTACGCTACAATATAAAAAACTAAAATATTGGATTCTATGGGATGTAGAAGAAAATAACACTTGTGCCTGAATCGGCTATACTGCTTAAAACAAGTGTGATATCGTGTACTTAAGGTAAGCTGGTTAAACGATCTTATTAACTAAGTTCAACACAGAAGAAAAAGAGGAAATTTGCGATCACTAGGAGTTAATGGGTTTTAAGAGTTTCATCTAAGAACATCTGGGTTTTAAGAGACACCATCTAAGAGTTAATGGGTTTTCTTTTTACCTGAAAAATACAAACCCCTTAGGGGAGGTTAGATATCTGCAAATGATTTTTATTCTGCATGAAATTATTTGTTTATATTTAGCTAGACTTAATATTAACTACAAAGACATAACTATGTATTATTTTATGTTTTAGGAGACTTAATTGAAGGCAACTCAGACATCAGAATATGGATAGAAATTGAAATACTTTCTGGCCATTAAGCTTCGAATTTTTTCCCACAAATCAATATGACGAAGATTTTGTTGTTGGTGACATTTGTATTTATATTTTTCTCACTGGTGGAAATAGAATCCCGAAAGATGATCTCCCCCTCTACAAAGGGTTCGAAATATTTTTCAAAACCGTCTTTATCAAAATTGCGTCTGATACCTACTTCCATAAACAATAAAAAAATTAACAAACTTCAGTATGGTAAACAAAAGCCATTCCTGAGAAAAACTTCGATGGGAATATCTAGAATGATTCGTGATTTGAGATTCCCCTTCTTCACAAGCGAGCGCCCGAAGGTGAACAGGCACGTACAAAAAACTCCGCATCGATCTCCATATTCAACCGCAGATTTTTCCAACTCTGGTTTCAGACCAGTAATAACACCTGAAAAAAAGCCGATGAATCAGCAACAATATCGTCCTGCATATCCCCTCACTCAAAATTCAGCACAGCCACATAATACCAGGAACCAAATGAGCACCACCTTTCAACAAAGAAAACCAAAAAGTCCTCCTCAAATCTCTGCAAGACCTATTAGAACTACCAGAGGTCCTCTGAGATTACCTGGAAAAGATATGATGAATAATAGGCCAAGTCTAGGAAGAATTACGATTCCTGAGAGACGGGAAAACTTTAAACAGCATGCGGCGGCTTCAGTGCCCGTGCCTTCTTTGCATTTAGACCAACGTCTAAACAAGTTTCCATCAAATGGTAAAAATACTGAAAGCATTCCAAAGCAGCAAACATCTCGAACGAGAGCTCGAGTTATTGACGTATACCATCATATCCCAATATCTGACAACCCTCTACAAACCCCACAGTTAGGCATGCAAAATCCCCCAGAAATTGAAACTCTCTTAAAAGAAATGGAAGTACCACCTTCCTCATTTCCTTCCTTGAGTAAACCTGAAAAAATAGCCGGTTTGAGAGATTTTGTTCCTAAAATGCTACCCGAATTAGACTTTTTAGATACTGAACTTTTGAAAACTCATTTAATTGAACAAGCACCTCCAAATGCGAATGTCTACACACGGCAACCAATAAACTTACCACTTCGTACTAGTACTGTTTTACCATTTCAAGTAAAACCTGATTATCAGTCTACCAGTGATAGAGAAAATTTATATGTTCCCGAACCGCTTCACGAAGAAAAAAGCGAAACTCAATCCATTGCAAAAACTCAAATAAAACCTAACTCACACGATATTGATCTTTCAGAGAGCATCGTTTCATCAGAAAAATTAGCACCTGTTAATGATAAATTAAAATACATTCGTGTATCGAACGAAACCTTGTCTGAGGGTCCATTAACTGTGAAAAAGTATTTTGACTTCCACCAAGAGAATGCAGACCAGGTTCCCTTTGTTCAAAATCAACAATCACTTCAAAAATTAGTACATGGTGCAAGCAAGCCAGCCCACGAACATGATTTCAAAAATCATCGCATGCAAGAACATCCAGTTATAGATCCTATTTCCTCTGTTATAAAAACTTTAAATGAATACAATGAAAAAATTACTCAAGTAAAGCCAGAACAAGAACTTTATTACAATCCTTCACATCACAATCTAAACAATTATAAAGAAATGATACAAAGTGAATCAATTACTCCAAGTAGTTCAGTTTTGAGCTCCGAAGTATCAAGTAATGACCCCGTTAATAAAAACTCAAAAGTGACGAAAAGTGAGTTTCACGGTTTCAGAAATCAAAATACTCGAATTTCAACTGAAGTTTCTGATAGCAGAACAACTTCAAATCCCTTTAAAATAACTCCCGACATTGAGAGTGATTTTACAACAAGCGATGCAGAGAGCAACAGCCAATCTAACACAAATACACAGTATCACCATCTGCATTTACCGCATGAATGGGACCAAAATATGGCATACATTATCTCAGACATATTTAGAAGAAATTCTAGTACTCTACTAAACGAAAATTTTACTCCGGCAACTCAAGAGAAACCTATAACATCCCCTGGTATTTATGCTCGTAATAGAGGTCAGTTTGAAAAATATGAAGATCTTTCAAATTCTGAACTTCAAGATCTTCACGGGGAAGAAGGTGAGTTTGAGATCAAGCAGTATTTTAGAGGTCCTCAACATGTAAATCATAATAACTGGACAATATTAGAAGAATATCCCATACCTGGTTCTCGTTTAATTACTTCAACGCTTATACCTCCTGGTAAGCCATGGGTAATTACTCCACCGATTAACCGCCCACTTGAATTTGTTACTGAATCCAGCAGACAAAAGGAGAGATCAGGCTCTCACAATAAGGTAACGAATGCTTGGAACTTTGCTAATAAAATATTTGGAAGAAGAAACCATACTACTCGCATGCGAATGATTTCAACAACTGTTACTCCTGAGCATAAAAAGCACAAATTTGCTTATGCACCTCTGCATAGAAATGTAACAGACGGAAAGCAGAAATCTGAAAGTAAAAACGGAGGAGTCAAACTGGTTTTTAATTTTAGAACAGGAGCTGCTCAAAACCCAGTGGCAGAAAATAAATCTGAAGATACTGAATCTGACAACAAACCTGTTCCAAACCAGGATAATGTAAAAGAAATTACGTTTAAACCCAAATTCCAAGTTACCATTCCTGATAGGAAAAGGAACCATGAAGTTCGTTTACGAATTCCACCAAAAGCTACCGAAACCAGAAATGTATACTTAAATCTTAAACCAGCTACAAAATCATATTTATCAAGCACCACACAAAATCCACCGAGCAGTACTAAGCAAGTAAATGACAATAAAAGCCATGGTATTGGTATAATCTTTGAGAACAAAAGCAAAACCCTCCCGCAACATATTTTCATTAAAAGCACTCAATTGCCAAGGATTACAACTCAGAAAGTAAAACAATACGAACCAGCTACCGAGAAAACAAGCACATTTACTTATATCAATCCAATTAAAACTTCAGGTTATGAAACTGAAGCGGTAAAACAGTTTGGCAAGATGGAAACCACAACAATCTCTTCAACCAAAGCTGTCACTCATAATAACTATGTTACTCCTGCAGAAAATATAACTCCACCACGTAGAAGTGAAACAGTCAAGAAACCAATACAAATAATCTCTTCAACAACGCCTGAAACTGCAGACACGAACATTGCTCAAAGCTTAAGTAATGAACAAATTTTAGTCGATTCGTTAAGATCTATGAAATTAAAAGTGCAAGAAATGATGTCTAAAGGTATAAGACATTTAATGCCTCTTGTAATGGAACTGTTTTCTGATGTTAGTATATCAAGTGACTGTACATTTTCACTACTAAGATGGCTTCGAGGGATTAAATCTATGGAACAATGGGCCATTAAGAGTGAGTACAGTTTATTAAATATTATTAACTTTATTTAGTTTTCAGACACTTTTTCTTAACCATTTTTTTTATAATCTAGCTTATAATTTATAGTTTCAGTCCATCATACGATTTTGAGCCTTTTTTTTTCTTTTAGTACGCTTTTCTAGACGGTAAGGAATTGTAGTGTATGTTATTCACACCAAAAATACTGGCAACTACTTTACACCAAAGTGTTGTACTGAAACACCACACATATAATTATTGATTCTTGTGTTTTTTCATTTCGCTAAGAACCAAGGATATTTCCCAATGTAGTGGAACACCAAAAATGTTTCTTCCCACTACTTAGCGTAAAGTAGCTGCCCCATTTATGACATTTGGTAACAATAAAATTCATAATTACAATAAGATATGATACACATAAGAGTCGGTAAAGTGTTTTTTTTACTATACAATATAAAGTAAGAATCATTAGTTCAAGGTGCATATATACACAACACTTATTTTAGTCAATTGTATTAAATATAAAATTATTTAATACAGATGACAGATATTAAAAAATATTAAATATAATGATCTTTACTACACAACTGAAAACATGCATACATTTTGAAACGGAAAACTTTTGTTCTTGTAATTGCTTAGAAGCATAAAAGAGAACAACAAATTCGCGCCATCTCGAAATCGATCAATCTACTGGCGATATCCTAAATTTGCCAAAATTGGGGTTTTCTGAAAAGAAAAGAATTCACAAATGTTGTGAATGCTCAGAGTTTGGTTTATGATTTCTCTGTTATTAGTGTTTCACTTTGACTACTCTTTTTTATGTATAAATATACATTTAATTTGGTGTTAACTTGAAATAAAGTGTTCCTAAACACAATCCTTGGAATGTTCCAACTCAAAATTTTGAGGAGATACTATTTCACAGTTTTTACGTACCAGGTGGGAGCCTTTTAAACTTAAAAACTTGATTTTTTAACACATAAAAACGAACATAGAAATGAGCTTTTGTAGCTCGCAAAAATTTTAAAAATAGATACATGAAAAAAATCCTTCGTCACATTGTTGAAAATTCGACTATTAATATGTTAATATAAAAACACAATGAAATTCGGATAAATAGGTTCGGTGGAATCGAAAATAAAGTCAAATATATACTTTCTAGAAAATGCGATTGAAGTTTTTTCAATGTGATACAGCGGTTATACAAACTTAAAGGAAAAGATGGCACTTCATATTGGAATTTAGAATTGAAAAGCAACTGACATGTTCGGACATGACATCGCATAGCAGTAAGAGCGCATTTCTATATGCTTGCTGTTAATACGCATTTAAAAGTGTACTTTTATTTATATAAACTATCTTCACTTTTATTCGCTAAATAGGTCATCAAATCATTAAATTACGATAAAAACCTAAGTAAATTTCTGGTCCCATTTGAATGCATTTGTTGATAATAATAATAGAAGACGCAAAGTTAGCAAATTAAGGCAATTTAAATAAATAAAAAAGCGTTTTAACTGAGCACGAACAGCCAGTTCATAATGACGTTTATGACCATTGACGGCTATGCAATTCTCATTCTCTATGATATGCCCTACCTCTTACACAACGTTATCAATCTCATTATTTTTTAAAGCTTAATATTTTAAAAGCTAAACTTTTTTTATGTCACTCAAACAAATTAAAGTACCTAAAATATGCGTATTCCGAATTCCATGAAATTATATTTCATAATTTCTTATGTACACTGTTTTCAAGCTAAAAAATATTTATCAACAAAACTTGCAGTTCAGTGCTTGGGGAAAATTAACGGTGTTTTATCTCACATAATAAAAGAGATAAAACATGATTGTTTTTCTTCATTGGAAATATATTTAATAATATTTTTCATAATCATAATAATAACAAAAAAACCGTATCATTTTTAGTTTTTTGTATGAAGGACGTTTTGAAGATTTTTCGTCCTGTTGTAAGACTTTCTTTTCTTTTTCCCCTTATTAAATTGTGGAAAATATAGTGGTTTTGGCAAAACGATCGCGGTTTTTTACTAAATTTCTTTTTAAGTTCTGGATTTATAAGATTCTGAATATCAGAATTGCTATAGCTTCATTGAATTGAGAGAAAAAATTGCATAAACAAATAAAAGCGAAAAAATATCGTTTAAATTTTACGGACGAAAAAGCAATAAAAATATATTTTCACTAGAGTAATAATATTTACCTTTAGCAAATAAGATCTATCGATATTTTTATAAAATAACCACTTCCACCGATCTGTGTTGGTGGGTTCTTATAAAAATGCTAAAACGAAAAAGAATCTATGTCATCACTTTCTGAGTTTATTTAAGCGTAGTGGTTACAGTTAAATTAAACTAAGCGAAACATTAATTAGTTATTTAACCTTATTAAAGTTTTCGATTAATTAATGGCTAGTTTGATTTCTTGAAATTGACATTTAAAAATAAAATAATGGCAAAAGCAAAGAGAAAACGATTTTTAGCATGGCTCTGGAATAATATAAATACAGATTAAAAAAAAATGGAAAGGAATGAATTAGAGTATAGAAAAACTTAATGATTTTTCTAAATATAATATAAACACATACGACAAATCCCAAAGTGATTAGGATCTAAAACTAGGTTTACGAATATTATTACTAAAAATTTTTTAATCGATTCAAGTTAAATCGTGAAACATACTTTCTGATGTTTGAGATCGTCTGATGTAACAATTTTTAAAAAAATCATAATTAGCATTCGAATTTTTTTAATTTTCCTTACTATTCTACCGATTTCGTTCAAACTATAAATTTCGTCATTTAAAGTTATATAGTTTAAAGTTTTTCAAAACATTTTCTAACCATCATTAAATTCGATAATAAATAATTACTATCCTCTAATATAGATACGTTCTGGTTAGTCTGGTGCAAGTAAATTCAACTATTCTTTTGTTATATTTCTTAATTTTTTTTAAGGGACGTTCGTTCATGATAAAAATAATAGTTGATTTTACTTGTGCTCTACAAACCTAATAAACAGAAATAATATAAGCTTGAAAATGTTTTTAAATCAGTAGGGTTAATATTTTTATTTTCTGATTGAACAACATAATTAAAAAGAATAAAATCAACACTAATTTAATCAGTTTTTGTTATTACATGTATTGTTGCGTGCATATAATACAACAATCATACTGTGACCTTATGAGTTTCGAAAATGTGTTGCCATTCGGTACTCCTTATACTAAAGGGTTAAAAAAGCTTTGAACATTACTCCAAAAAGTTCAAACAGTCAGTCGAGCAATGAGTTTTTAATAGTTTCGTGACTAAAAATATCGTCTGATGAAAGTTGTCACGAAGAAACAAGGAGCATGTAATCAACCGCAACATTTATCAGCATGTGTTGAAAACTTTAAATGAAACAAATGATGCATGCTCGTTTTATCTCAATTCGCTAAATTTTCATTTAAGTAACTGCTCATGCAGGCTCGGTGATTTTATTCTTAGTCTCATCTTCAAGAACAACTAAACTCCGATTTTCCACTAAGATTGCTGATACGCTCTGCATATTCCAACTTCCATGATCACGTTTAGAGATCAGAAACCCCTACAGGCATATGGACACCAAGAATCTGATCTTAGATTATTTATGTTTCATTCGGAGGGGGGATTAGATCAATTCTTTTAAGGACGAATTGTGTCCTAGAGATTTTGTGACCTTCTTGAGTTTGGTCATTTTTATCGATAAATCAATATCTAAGATTTGATCCATAGCTTGATATGAGTTCACAGATATAGTCGGATATCCATATACATCAAAAAATAGATCTATGCTAGTTTTAGGATATATTTATTTAATCATGAACTTATGGTTGTAATTTGATTCGGCTATATACGCCAATATGTATGAGTTTAAAATATAGCTGGTGGATATTTCCCATGCTGTTTGCGAAATGGTTTCATTCTCGATACGTTGTTTAGATCCATGGTTTCAATACATTGGTGTTTGTTTAAGAGAACTTCAGCAACTAAAAATAAATTATTATATTCAAATTAAACGAAAATTACTTTAAGAGAAAAGTTACAGATAAATAAATAGATCTATATCAGTTGAAGAATATAATTAATCATAATGTAAGAATATAATGTAAGACGATAAGAATATAATTGAATTTTGAGCATTATATAGATATACATACAAATTTATAGATTTAATTCTATCCAACTACTATATACGTTTATAAATATGAACTGGATATTTAAGATATACTAGATTATTAACTCTTAGCTAAAGTGATTGCAACGTAAGGCTAATGCGTATGGCTTTAAGTTGACACATTCAGTAAATGTTGGATATTTCATTAAAAGGGAATAAATATTAAATTATACATTTTAAATTTAAGTTCACACAGTCTTTTAATTGATAGTTTAAAATTTCTCAAGTGAGGTAAAAAGATTTTCAAAAATTATAGATAAGAATTAATTTACAATTAATTATTAAGAATAAACTAATTATTAAGAATTTATTCTAATTACTATACTTAATTTATGTGTGTGTTGATTTTTATAAGTTGTGTGCTCTTTATTATAATAATTAACTACTGTAGCAAATATATTCAAAACCACATCGCTTACATCGGGAATAACAAATTTGTGATTTTAGCCTTCTTAAAAAAGTATTTTTTAAAGCTTAATTGGCCTTTTTGAGAAAAATGCTAAAGAAAACAAATTTTTTTATTTAAATATCTCTTGATCACAAACATCTATTTTTCTGTCAGCCGGAAACATGTTTAGTATTCACCAAAACACATGTTCTCATATTTATTTTAAAAGCAATAAAAAATATTGAGGAAATGGAGTTGTTAAGCTCACTTTGTAGTCAGAAATTCTCTAACCCAGTTTTATGAAAACACTTTTTCATTTTAAGTAAATTTCAAAATTCTCTAAATAAAACTGTCAGAGGAAGTACATGTTTTCTCAAAGTTAGTTCTAGATATTATAATATGTTATTTTAA